AAGTGATGTAATAGTGCTCAAGCATAATTATATTTACATAAAATTTTTGCGGAAAATTCGAATATGAAATTTATGACATAATTGAAATCTTCTCAAGCATCATTTTCGATGCGCTTAGTGAGTGATTGTACTAGTGCTCATTTATTACAATAAATCACAACAACATTGAAGTCAATACTTGAGCAGTCTCCTATTGATTTTTTTATTATTTGTCAAATGTTATCGTCAAAAAAGCAAAAACATTATTCTTGACCCACCTGACCCATTTTTCTTGGCCCCTCTAAAAATAAAAAAAATTGTCATCATTCTTGACCCCAAAAAAAAATAATTATATCCATTGTCACATTACGTATGTACATACATACAAATTCAGTTTGTGCAATACTGATAAAGCAATACTCGAAATTTTATATTATCATTATTTATATGTTAAGACAAATTATATTGAAATAAGATAATATAAATAACAATAGTTTTACAATGAAGCTTTATATTAAGTTCTAATTAATTTGTTAACTTTATTAACTACAATTGAATTATATGTTTGCCTTGTTTTTCTTGGTATCAAACCAAGTGAATAATTTTTTCTTGTTTTGTTTCATATTTTTATCCAATTTAATACTTTGTTCAAGGCAAGCCTTTACAAATTTGAGCCTTTTCCAATTTGTATATTTTCTTCAAAGAGATTTTCAAGTTTAGATCATATAATAGCTTTCCTGGATAATTCAATATTGACACTGTTTTGATCATACAATCAAAAATTTATAATTAATATACTGCATAATTGTTGAATATATTATATAAATGAATAAATTAATATTATAAACTTATTTTTTTTGAAATATTGCATTTATGATTACGAATTACTGCTGTTGTTCACTTTTGAATTGATGGAGCTACTGGGTCTGTTTGTTCAATTAAATTTATTACTAAAGTTTCTGGTTCAGCTGCTAATAATTCTATTTCATTGTCAAATGATATTAGATCATTATCATTTAAATTCTAAAATTAAAAAAATAAATGTTAAGAATATATAATATTTGAATAAATCAATAAATAAATAAACTACTTCTTTATCGATTATATGCATAAGACTATAAGATTTTTGTAGTTTTGCACTATGCATTTTGGGAGCACCAATATTTGACGTCCTTTGAGTAGATATTTCAAAAGGACAAAATGGATCTTTTTCTATAAATTCATGTTCATATAGGAAAAACATGTCATTGCTCTGTACAAAATAAATCTGAAAAATTTTATTAAATGCAGTACCAACAGAGCTACTATAAATTATAAAATTTTTTTGTTCTTTTGGTATTGCATGCTTTTTGTTACGAAAATATAACACAAAGTCATGCTTGATAATATCAAGTATAATTTATTATCTTCAATATTATTAAAGAGACATGCTGCATAAACATGCTTGCATATATCATGAAAAGAGCTATTCTATATAAAATCAAGATATGTATACTCTCTAGTAAAGATATTAAAAAATAATGACCTTCTTGTTGTACTATAGAGTGTTTAGATGCATGTTGATTAAGCATCAGCTGAAGTAGTTTATACAATTTACTGTCAATTCTGATTCTTCTTATCATATATGGTGATCTAAACATGCTATTTCTCTTTTTTACATAGAAATATATATCAAACCCTTCAATTGCTAGTTTAACTGAATGAAGCAAAATATACTGTAAAGTCATCCTTGATTCAGTCTTTATTTTATGTCTATAGGTTGTTTGAATTGTAGTGTTTGATATTCTATTATTTGTAAATTCCAGTAAGTCACCTGACCTGCCTCAAATACAAACTAGAAAAAAGTCTCTTTAACAATATTATCCATGTTAAAACAATACTATATAACCTTTCAACAAAGTGATTAATTTGCTAGGTGCCTTCACATTAACCCTTAATTGACTTATTTATTTGTTTTGTAAGATTGTTAGTGATTATAAGCTTAATGCCTAGCATATTATCTAAAGATAGCATTTATCTACTATCAATAAAGCAATTAATTCATTCATTAGATAACTAATTTGAAAACATATTATTGTATAGAAATTCTTTTATAATTTCTGTAAATTGCATAGATTTGATAAAAGATTGATAAGCCTCACCAAGTACTATTACTTCTTTCCTACTTCTACTACAATCTACAATTTTAAAAGTAATAGCAATTGGATATCAATAGTGATCATCAATTCATAAGTTCTTAAGATGTTTACTAAATTATTAGAAATGGAGCCGAATAATACGTTTGCGATGCGAATTCGCGGGAAAATTTATAATAAATTGGA